CTGGGTGCACCCTTCCCCAGCTATGGGGGGAGCTATAGACGGTGCTGTTAACATGAGTATTCTTCTTCCATTTTATTATCTTATGCTTGTGCCTCCTATGGGTGTACATTGGAGATGGGCGTGTAACCAAGGGCCGCTTTTACAATCGTATGAACAAGTACTTTGATTTGTATTAACAAGTACTTTGAGTTGTATTATCAAGTACTTTGAGTTGTATGAATACATACTTCGAGTTGAGTCAACTTCATTGCACATATAACATCGTTAGTGCATATGCCCACACACCTCACATTAACTTCATCACCTATGCACACCTCACATTAACCTCATCACCTATTCACACCTCACATTATCCTAATCACCTATACACACCTCCCCTTAACCTCATCACCTATACACACCTCCCATTAACCTCGTCACCTATACATATCTTGGTCACTGTTAGGTACGCACGACGAGCTTATAGCTAAGGACGGTATATACAAGAATCTTGTTAAGCGTCAGATCAACGCGGGTGGAGAGGCAGTGCTCGATACCTGAAGCAGAAGGTTTTGTATTGTAGTCAATAAAATAGTAGTATAAAAGGAATATTGCCTACACGTGAAACAAGCCCTGGTATTGTGATCAATAAAATAGTAGTATAAACGAAATATTACCTACACGTGAAACAAGACCTGGTATTGCGATCAATAAAATAGCAGTATAACAGGAATATTACCTACACGTGAAACAAGACCTGGTATCGCGATAGGAATATTACCTACACGTGAAAAAAGACCTGGTATTGTGATCAATAAAATAGTAGTATAAAAATAATATCAGCGAGGATAGGGGGAGGTTATAAATGATAGTACAATAGGAATGGTACGAATGATAGTAAATGAGTTGTATTATATATTAAAGTATACATAAGAATGGTATGAATGCTAGTATAAGAGTTGCATTATATATTATTGTATAAATAGGAATGGTATGAATGATAGTATGCAAGTTGTATTATATATTATAGTATAAAAGTATTGCTATAAATACTGATGTACAAATAGTTTCAAAAACAACAGTACAAAGTAAAATTTATCATGATAGTAAATAAGTGATCGTATATATACTACTGTACACTTAGTATAAAAATATTATCATAAAGAATTTTAAGTTTTATTGTATTAGATGTATAAAAGTTATATTGAAAATAATAGTGTAAAAGTTAAATAATAAACAATAGTATAAAAGTTCTATAATAAATATTAGTATAAGTTATAACAAATAATGGTATAAAATTTATACAACAAAATAGTATAGAAGTTATATTTTTGATCGTAGTATAGAAATTACAAAAAAAGTTATACTACAAAATAGTATAGAACTTATATTATTATTACTAGTATAAAACTTATACTACGAAGTGATATAGAAGTTATATTAAAGATCATCGTATAAAAGTTACAAAAAGGTTATACTACAACATAGTATAGAAGTTATGTTAGTAATACTAGTATAAAAGTTATACTACGAAATAGTATAGAACTTATATTATAGATCATCGTATAAAAGTTATATAAAAGTTATACTACAAAATAGTATAGAAGTTATATTATCACTAGTATGAAAGTTATACTACGAAATAGCATAGTATAGGAGCTATGTTATTGATAATAGTATAAAAGCTATACTACAAAATATTATAAGAGTTATATTTAATTGATAATAGTATAAAAGCTATCTTAGGAAATAGTATGGAAGTTATGTTATTGATAATAGTATAAAAGTTATATGAACGTTACACTACAAAATAGAATAGAAATTATGTTATTGACAACGGTATAAAAGTTATACTACAAACTAGTATAGAAGTTTTGTTATTGATAATAGTATAAAGTAATACTACAAATAGTATAGAACTAATTCTATTGATGATAGCATAAAAGTTATACTACGAAATAGTTGTATAAAAGTTATACTACAAAATAGTATAAAAGTTATATTATTGATAATAGAACAAAAGTAATACTACGAAATAGTATACAAGTTGTGATATTGATACTGGTATTAAAATTATACTACGAAATAGAGTAGAAGTTATGTTATTGATAATAGTATAAAAGTTATACTACGAAATAATACAGAAGTTATGTTATTGATCATAGTATAAAAGTTATACTACGGAATAGTATAGAAGTTTTTTTAATGATAATAGTTTAAAGTTATATAAAAGTTATACTACAAAATAGTATAAACGATATAGTATTGATAATAGAACAAAAGTAATACTACCAAATAGTATAGAAGTTATGTTAATAATACTAGTATAAAATTTATGCTACAAGATAGTATAGAAGTTATGTTATTGATAGTAGTATAAAAGTTATACTAGAAGTTATGTCATTGATAATAGTATAAAAGTTATACAGCAAAATTGTATAGAAGCTATATTGTTGATAATAGTATAAAAGTTATACTACGGAATTGTAAAGAAGTTATGTTATTGATAATAGTATAAAAGTTATATGAGAGTTATACTACAAAATAGTATATAAGTTATATTATTGATAATAGTATAAAAGTTATACTACGAAATAGTATAGAAGTTATGTAATTGATAGTAGTATAAAAGATATATAGAAGTTATACGACAAAATAGTATAAAAGTTATATTATTGATAATAGTGTAAAAGCTATACTACAAAATAGTATAGAGGTCATATCATTGATAATAGTATAAAAGTTATGTTAACGATAGTAGTATAAAAGCTATACTAGTTATGTTATTGATAGTAGTATAAAAGTTTTACTACGAAATAGTATAGAAGTAATATAATTGGTATTAGTATAAAAGTTATACTACAAAATAGTATAGAAGTTATGTTATTAATAGTAGTATGAAAACTATATAAAAGTTTTACTACAAAATAGTATAGAAGTGATGTTATTGACAATAGTAGAAAATTTATACTACGAAATAGTATAGAAGTAATATTATTGATAATAGTATAAAAGTTATACTACGGAATAGTATAAAAGTTATTTTATTGATAATAGTATAAATGTTAAATAAAAGTTATCTACAAAATAGTATAAAATATATATTATTGATAATAGTATAAAAGTTATACTAACAAATAATATAGAAGTAATGTTATTGATAATAGCATAAAAGTTATACTACGAAATAGTATAGAAGATATACTACGAAATAGTATTGAAGTTATGTTTTGATAATAGCATAAAAGTTATACTACGAAATAGTATAGAAGTTATACTACGAAATAGTATTGAAGTTATGTTTTGATAATAGTATAAAAGTTACACTACGAAATAGTATAGAAGTTATTCTATTGATAATAGTATAAAAATTATATAAAAGTTAAACTACAAAATAGTATAAAAGATATATTATTGATAATAGTATAAAGGTTATACTACCAAATAATATAGAAGTTATGTTATTGATAATAGTGTAAAGTTATACTACGAAATAGTATAGAAGTTATGCTATTGATAATAGTATGAAAGTTTTACTAGGAAGTAATATAGAAGCTATGTTATTGATAGTAGTATAAAAGATATATAAAAGCTATACGACAAAATAGTATAAAAGTTATATTATTGATAATAGTGTAAAAGCTATACTACAAAATAGTATAGAAGTAATATCATTGATAATAGTATAAAAGTTATACTCGAAATAGTATAGAAGTTATGTTGTTGATAATAGTATAAAAGTTATATAAAAGTTATACTACAAAATAGTATAGAAGTCATATTATTGATAATAGTATAGATATTATTCTACAAAATAGTATGCAAGTTATGATATTGATAATAGTATAAAAGTTGTACCACAAAATAGTATAGAAGTTATATTATTGATAGTAGTATAAAAGGTATACTACGAAATAGCACAGAAGTTATAATATTGACAATAGTATAAAAGTTATACAACAAAATAGTATTGAAGTAATGTTATTGATAATAGTGTAAAAGTTATATAAAAGTTATTTCATATATACTAGTACGAAAATTGTATTACATATTTTAGTACAAAAGTAGTATCAATAGTATAAAAGTAAAAGAAGTATTCCAAATAATGGTAAATACGAAAGCAATATTGTAAATAATAGGGATAATATTTTTATTTAAAAAATGGCAAGTATGTATGATACAATGTATGAACATATGGTATGGCTCTCATAGTCGCTGTAGTGGTTCAGGAAAGATTGATGGGAAGAAGTGGTCAGTAAATTCCCGTTTAAAGCTTGGGCCAAGTGAGTCGACAATGGAAGATATGCGCTGAGTCAATTCGGGCCGGTGTTGACTAAACACTGTTACTATCGAATGTTCCATATATTCGCTTGCTGACCTACTAAGTAGAGTACCCACCTCTGTGGTACGGATCGGGTCTGCGCCGTGAAATAATAGTAGAAAAGTAATATGAATAATGGTATCAATAAAATTATTTTAAACGTTTGGCGTGCACATTATCCCTATCTGTGGTAGAATGACATACTCCCACAGCTACGACGACCCTAAAGTTTTCTACTCTCCGTCAGTGCTATCTATCCTACTGACCTACCGAAGTACAACAACGAACAACATCAACATGCATCTGAAAAGGTATTACTAATACTATTGACATATGTTTATGCTTTTGTAATATACGTTTGTGCTATTGTAATATGTTGGTACTATGGCAAGACGCTTGTACTACTGTAATACGTCTGTACTATGGTACTACGTTTGTACTGTTGTAGTAGGTTCAACTATTGTAATACGTTTGTACTATATTTATACGTTTGTGTTTATTTAATAAGTTGACGTCGCGCCCTTCCGCGGGAACACTACGGCCACCAACCGAATGACTCATCCATGAGAGCAACCCAAGTGCTTGGTATCCCAATCTCCTCGTACCATACACACAGCGATACATACACCACGCGACCAAAAACAGCCTCCCTAGCAACCGGTTGCCATGGAAACGTGTGCGGAGCACACCTACCTATACCTCAGACATCATGCGCACTCTCGCCGGGCTGGCTCTGGCTATCGCTGGCCCCGTCCAGATTATACTTCTTGCGGATAGCATCGTGCTGTTCCTGTTTAGACAGTTTCTTGTCCTGTAGTGCAATAGACCTCGCTTGTTCACGCTCGCCGAAGCGTGCGTTGTTTTCGGCCTGGCGTTGGTCGAATTTGCGTAGACGACGTTTACGGCACCAGCAACACAGCAACAGAGAGATGATCAGCAGCACCACCGCGCCAATGGCGATGCCAATCCAGATCCATTGTGAGCTCGAGACATTGAGGAACTCGGCTGTTTAGAGGGGAGGGCAGGGGAATGATGATAAGAGTGTGAGGATATACCGGCAACGGCACACATGTGTCTTGCATGACGAAGAATAGTTGTGTGTCAAATGGTGAAAGGAGACTGTATATTCTCCCAGCACCTAAAGCGTGTCTGCTTAGTTGCAGTCAACACTACTACACGTCGATTGTAAAACACCTCGCCTATCAAAGACCGCATGCGCAGGACTCAAAACTATCGAGATCAGACTATATAGATATATATATATATATATATATACATAATATAGATATACTATATATATAATTATATAGATATACTATATATACATAATATAGATATACTATATATATAAATATATAAATAAATATATGATAACAAAATATATATGCGTGTGTATATA